ATACATACTCGTCCGATTCTACACTAACCCTAGTCTCATTCAAACAGAATATTAGGGGAAGCTAGTTTCTCTCTGCTTTTAATCACAGATTGCCCATCGATGAATGGTCGGTGTCATTAGCTTGCCGTTTACGTTCGTCCCTGCGTGGACCTTTTTGTCACGGCGTCCCCAACCAAGAACGCTAGCGTAATAGCTGCGTTCTCTGAACCTTCATACTTTGTCGCTAGCGCCGTCCCTACTTGCTGTTCCTGTCATCGATACTGCTGCTGCTGCTGCTGCTGTTGGCGTATCTCGTGCGAGCCATGTGAATGTGCCGACACCATGTGTCCTTCAGCCTCTGCGATCTCAGCCCAGTAGAAAGGATAATCTTTGGTGATGGGTAAATGAATCTGCTGTCTGTCAGTTGTTCTCTACCCGGTGACCATTAGTTCAGCTGGAAGCGTGAGCGTCTATGAATGCTGGCATCAACGCACCGAGTGACACAATAAAACGACTCTACCCAACCGCGCGCTTGGTCCACGTCGGTCTTAGGTACATCTACTACATTGATACAGACAGACAAAGCTAGCTGTAAGAATACGTCTCTGTTCGACAGAAGTGACGTTAGGCTTTCAGGGATTTGGTCGATCTGCCTTCATCGTACAATTGTGGCTATACGTTGGGGCGCGTCATCGAAGTGGTCAGACCAGCAAACAAATTATTCCTCGAAAATTCCGCATCGAGGAAGATAGCAGTAGGACAAGTGTGGTCGAACAGCCTGAAGGTCCCTGTAGTGATTGCATTAACAGATTTAGCTACGTGCCATGAGCATGGATCTTGATCGTGCTACTTGTTGAATTATGCACAGTAGATGTTTGCCTGATGATGGGGTCGTACAGCTCTAGATTATTCATTTGAATATGACGCTGTGGCCTGCTTAGTTAAATTTTCATAAACCTCGCAACCTGTAGCTGACCGCGTAGTAAATAATGTATGTTCGAAACAGACAAGCTTTGTTGATACACATTTAGTGCGGTTTGGATGTCATCAAAGAGAAGAAATCGATCGGCTGTCAAGACGAATTGTAACTAGGATTTCCTTAGTACATCAATAAAGGTATCTGTCTAGCGAAATTCAAGCTAGTTATACCTTATACATGTTCGGACACTGGCCTTGTTTGAAAAACGCAATAGTTGGTTTGCCCTTATACGAAATCAAATTTGCTCTATTTGTGCTCCTATGAACAGTTTTTAGGCCCCGCCTTTTTAATAAATAGTTATAAAATCGGATCAGATTATCATATGGAGCTCATTTTTTTTTTGTAGAATGTGGTCGAAGCCTTGTTCGATATATGAGTGCGCGACAAATAAATAATTTTGATTTTTCCGGCAATGTGAGTTAAGAGTAGATGCTAAAAGATTTTACAGCCAAGGACAGATATATGTGCTCACAGAAAGAAGGACTCGGACGACTGTGGCGTGATACACACGAACTTTCTACAATTCTCGTACTCGGTTAACCGTTCCTCCGGCCAAATGAACTGAACAAGCCCAAAAGCACGTCTTTTTGGCGAGTTCTCTTGAAAGTGAAAGAAATTGCTTCGAACGAGCCTCCTATCGCTATCCTCTTAAAGTTTTTTGTTCAGCTAAGTGAAATCAGCTAGCAGTAATACGTACTGATATACCAGCATCACAACAGTTATCAATGGAAATAACTTCAGAGATTGATCAGTACCAGAATCTACCAGCTCGAGTTAACTTAACCTAAATATTCCAATCACTACCTAATAACAACCTCTCATTGTTGTTAGGACACAGTTACATATATACACTCTTTCGATTATCTGTTCGACCTATGAGATGGCCAGCCGAGCAAAATTGTTGACAATCGCTCATTTTTGAGCTGCAAACGTTTTCGTAGAAAAATTTGGAAAAAGCTTATGTTAAAGTCGTACTTCCTTAAAAATATAGACACTACGGTTACCAATCTATCTGACAAGCCTTTAGCTACACTTTGCAAAAAAAAAAACACCATCTTTAAACTATTAGGTTGCTTGTTTATCTGAGAAACGCTGACTAAAGGATCTTGAAAGAAACGGAAATGAAGTAAACCTATCGATTCAAGAATAAGTTTGAGTTAGACAGCTAGTTACGTTGGGAGAGATAAGTAATCCTGTTTCTGCTCGAGCAGTGTAGTCATAGCCTGATACCTATAATAAGTGGTAGTACCTACTTCAAGTTCGTGGTGTTTAATTTAATCATAGATCGCTTTTACTTAAGGGCTCTCCGAGTTGGCTGGCAGTCAGCCGTAATTTACGCAGAAATTATTACGTCGAGCTCACTGTACAGCACAGGAGTCCGAGAAATGAAAGTGCGAAGTAAACATAAGCATTATAAGTCGCCTCTTTTTTTGATATCTTACATAATTAATATACTAATTGATTACATTATAATAATAATAAGTTAATTAATTACCTACCAGCAGGTTCCGTACACATGAATGAAGATATTGTTGTTAAGTAAAACGCAGTGCTTGTCTGCAGGAGAATATTGAAGATCCAGTATATCAGACCTTGCTCGAAGAAGCTGCGATTAGTTATAAAAGCAGAGAGTTTGACGGCTGGAATATGTATCGTAAAGAGAGGTCGTTGCTCGAAGTTGGCTGAAAGGCTGGCCGCTACTGCAGAGGAGAAGATCAGCAAATAAACCCACTTCAAGGATACATTAAGAAAGGGTCAATATAGATTTGCATAGAATCGCTTTTGAAGACGGAGCTGTCTGTTGTAGATGTGTTTAGCTAACAAATGCAGACATTAATTAGTCTAATACAGCGGATGTCAGTGATCTGTCTCTGAAAATTTTCTGCCTCTTTTTTTGGTCGTTAGAATAAAGTACATTTCATTATAATCAAATTTCCTGCACGATGTAGAGCGGCGCACGCAAAAATCCTTTGAATCGTATAGAACAAGAACGGCCGTGTCGAACGCCTCACAACGATTACCTAGTCTAATGCGCAGTGGCGCGGTCTTCGCTGAAGTGCTTGTAGAAGACGATAGCGATTTCGACATCTTCAGTCTATACTATTGTAACAGTGGGAGATTTATTTAAGTGTGCACTAATGAGACTTATTTGTCACTTGCTAACGTCCTTTCCGAAGCAGGGCGTTGACGTACATCCGTAACTGTCCTATCTGCCTGTATTCATCAGTATTTTACCTGTTATGTCTAAGCGGTAGGGTGTATGTTATTTAACATACGTCACTCTCAAACAGAGTGCCCATTGACCCCTTGTTACATTCAAATCGGTACTAGTCGCTGAATAGCGTATGTTACAACGGCTGTATTGGCACAAACATGCATTGTACGCGCTCGTACAGCTCTCGCATACCCGTAATCGAAAGTAGCGCTGAAAAAGCGTGTTACTATTTATGAAGATGTCCATTTTTGTAAACAGGTTCCAGTAAATATGCTGCAATATGATTTGTGCATTCATCTCTTGTCTCGGATCCTTTCAATTCCTACAGCATTAGGTTACCACTTTCAACGTGATTCTTTCTGTTGGAGCAGATATTTTTTGTCGACCCGGAATGTACACGGGATACCAGGGAACTAAAAAGCCAAAGCCCTCTAATTGCTCGACATTATTTCCTACAAGAAATGGAGGTCTTTAATAAGCATGACTGACGGATAGGAAGAAACAAATAGAGTTATCGAAAACGAATTTGTTTTGTGTCACCCGAAAAGTAACTCAGTTAAAGCTTTCTCCTATGAGATAAGTCGAACATGCCTATCGGAACCTTCAAATTGAAGTCATAAAAAAGGACAATACTGATTAAGTGATTCGTTTCCATACGGTGCTCGTGTGGAAACGAATCATCGTATGGAAACTTGTGCCGCCTGAGGATAAGATAATGGAAATCATGCATAGGACCACCCCACCTGGTCGCTAGTGTACCCCCGCGTTCGTCGAAGATCGAATGGAAAACTACCACTGTAGGGTGGCACTGTTACTTTGCATGGGCACACCGCTGCCCCACGTATAACTAGAAGAGCGACAGAAAGACAATATGTAGATTTGAATGTTATGCGAACTAAATCCGATTGGCACCTTAGCTATGACCATTCGATCTAACCTGAAAATAAGGTCACTCGTGCTTAGTCACGTCTACATTAGCGGCTAAGATAAGAGTTCCTTTAACGATTACTGTGTGAAAATGCCGACAGGAGTAGGGAACTCGAGGTTGGGGACTGGGGAAGCTGCCGCTAACCTTCTATTTGGTGGACGAGCATGCAGGCTGGTGGCTTTGGTAGCGCAGTATACCGACGTATTTGACACCCGTAACTTGCCAACCCTCCGGAGGACTCATTTGCGCAACCGGATTCAGCAGAAGAAATCACTCGCAGATTGTCGCTATTCCAGCCAGCCAGCCTAACTGCGAGCTGGTGTCTGGTATTCTTGACCTAGTTCAGAGGAATAAGGAAAGTAAAACAAGACTCTCTTATCCTTTTTCCCGTTTTGAAAGTATTTTACCTTGCCTGCATTTCTAAATGCGGCTTAGCCGCTATCACGGAACGCTTATAGTGGCTAGTGGTGGCCGTTCGCTCCAGTGTGTATTTGCGTAAGATAAAAGGGTCGAAAGCGACGCTACTTCAAAGAAACATACTTAGAGAAGAGCTCTGCGGTGCCCATTTTGACCCTATCGTACAGCTCATAGCCCGACGTCACATATAACCCAACCAAATCTTTGTGTCCATAGAGAAGCAGATAACGAACCCATACGACGAGCTCAACCTGGCGGTCGGTCCGTGAGCAGCCGAGCGAACTGTAGCCTACCCCGGGTGCGTCGTGGGTGATGTGAGAGAGGGACGTTGGATCGTTCTCTCCTGTCTCTCTTACCCACCCATGGATTGGTTACCCTTCTTCTTTCTCTTGTCGGCTCCCACCACAAAAACGACACCTACGGCCTTGCGCCGTAAATACCATCACAGCAAGAAACGGCAATTAGCTGAGCCGGTGGCAGGCAGCTTTACAATAGGAAGGTATTCGTTCGCGCCCCGATTTTCGAGGCCGTTAGCCGTTAACGTGGGCTCCACTTGACATGCACTTGGTCCAGTTAAAGCCGGCCAAGTGCTCATTCGGTCAGCCCGCCTAACCAACTGGAAAATAATTACACTAGCTATAGTCCGCTAGTAAAATTATACAAACATCGATTGAACCCGTGGACGATGGTAGGCGAAGCCGACCTCCGACGGACGGTCATCACCAGCAACAACAGCTCGTTAATGTAATTGTTGCCGTAGGGCCATGCCGATAGCGAAGACCACCTGCCCACATCTGCGCTGTTTACTCCATTGCCCCTTCCCGCTAGACTTCTGTTAAGATAGCTCTTGTTTTAGAAAAAGAAGAAGAAATCGATTGTGATAACTCAATCAAGTGATGCACTTTTACGTGAGAGAAGGGTAAGGCAGGCGAAGCAGTAGGCCCCATAGGGATTCATCAGTTCCTTGTTCGTCTATTATGTTGGCCACTGTTTGTTTGATTAATCCAGAAGGCTAGTAGGACAGAAACGACTGGATAAGTTGGTAGAGTAAAATTCTTCAAATTTGTAGACAAGCATGTACATTCAAATAAGTGTTGCACTGGATGCCCCCTGGCAGTAGCTCTTAGCCTGTTATTTGCGTCAACTAGAACACGGGCATCCGCCTATTCGAGAGAGAGGCAGCGAACGCCACACCGAAGCCAATTCGGCAAATAGCACGACGGAAAATGTATGGCCAAGACACTTTTCGCCGTATAAAAAGTGGCGTTCATTGATGTTGTTTGACGGTGAAGATGCCGAGAACGATGTAGTCAACTCATAACAGGTGCGCGAAACTCAATTGTGATTTAAGCTAGACTACTCAGTGTCGTAGCTGAACGTTTACTGCATCTGCCGCAGTAGTAAAAGACGGCGACGAGACAACAATAACAACAGTTGTGAGCAGACATTGTGTGAAGTCCCGAATGCAGTAATAGAAGCGCCACTGTAACGGGAAAGCTCAAGTTGGTTAATCATTTAGCTGAAAGATGTCTACCAGTCTCGCAGTGGACCTTCGGGCGGATCTGACCTGCCGAAATCGATTCATACGAATGAAGCAACAACAGCACCACCAAAATAGAGCGAAACAAATAAACAAACAGAGGATAAAGTAGTTGCTGCCATATTTGGTCCAGCTTCGCTACATTAGCGTTACCACATGTTATAGTGTTCGCGCGTGCATGTCTTACGAGGTTGCACGTCACCCTATAGGTGAGCTCGTTAACGGCCGGGATCACTTCAACCAACTCTGACGCCTCTGGCCGAACTGAAAGAAGCATTGTTCTTGATGGACTTTCTAATTCAGCGGTTTGTTCGGAACCCGAAACAGCCAGGAGTATACGGCCCGAGGAGGGATCAAAAAATGATGCAGGATATTAAAAAAATGCTATCCTTTTACTGACTAATTTGATATATATCTAAAGTGCAATGACTGATGGTGGAAGAGACCCGTTGTGAACAGATATTGTAAAGGAGAGAGAAGCCGCAACCAGTCTGAATGGCACTTGCGACATGAAGGCCGGTTACGGCGTGACGACATCCCCCCACCCCCTTATGCAAATAGGCGCTACGCGACAGCCAAAGGCAAAGAAAGCCGGGGGTAAACAGTAACAGCAGAGACCCACGAAAGAATACATAGAGACGATGCGAGGACTAAACGATAACAGAGCAGAAAAACACCATAGCAACAGAAGGATTTGCTATGCGCGATCAGAAAGCCGCGTTTGTTGGCACTTAAGTTAAGGCGAAGCACGGTGCCAAGTGAAGCGTGCTATTATTATCGTTCCCGTTACGCTCGACATGCGCCCGTCGACGTCCAACAATGTTCGTTCGGTCTATTTAAACTATCTATCGATCGGATGACTGATACGTCGTCCGATTACCTGAATTACCGGGTGACTGACTAATCAGAAGACTAAGAGGTTCAGAGAATTCATACTGTGGCAAACAATCGGTTTTCTGTTGTAGTTAAGAGAAGTTAGTTAATAGTGACTATGCAAATCTATTGACTCGCTGTTCAGAGAGTAGTTCGTTGAATAACAATTATTTGTAAGGGAGGCTGTGAACGATGAGATCTTGATCTATGTTAGTTAAGCGTATTTACTGAAACTCGATGAAATAGACGATACGTACGATCGTCACGCCGAAGCACGATACTCAATCGTAAAAATACGCAAAGCACGTGGCCAGCAGACGCAGAAGTCTCTTTCTAGTTCTCATATGCACGTACGCATGCATGTCACTTTACGTACGTCAAGGATGAGAGAAAGTGAAGAGTAACTAAACAAGTGTTATGCAAGCGTAAGCCATCAATGCTATCGCCATAAGCAGCGCCAATAATCGCTTAGATCTCGCCATCGGTTCGTGCAGTTCGAGTAACTCACTCGCAAGTTATTGAAAGTAGTCACAGCTATCGTTATTTTCACCGCTATTACTACCTATAGCAGCAATTAGCGAAGAACAATTCGTTGTTGTTCTAGTAGCAGCAGCAGCAGCAGCGGCTGCAGTTGTCGCCATCATCGTCAGTCGCCATTGCCATTGTCTCGACATAGTGCAAGACTACCATTTGCTTGCCTGTATGACTGAGTGTATCGAGGCTATTGTAGATCTTTACGACTGTCAGCCCGCTGACGGCATGTTCGCAGTGATACGTGAGTGACAGTATCAATCACCGCTGCCCTGTTTTAGCTGTTGTCTCTCCCGTTATTGCTGCTACGTTTGCCTACGACTATATCAAGCTGCTGACTTGTAGCCCCTTACTTAGAAAAAGCTCGCAGACGGCTGACCACAGTCCACAAGCCATGAAACACAGAACCCAATCTCAGGCTATCCGCCTGCCTGAATGGCTTGGCCTGTGCTGGTGGCGCCAGCTGCTCGTCGATATCTTTCGGCCCTGGCTTAGACCATTGAGTCGAGCACTGATCGTGGCTGCCGCCAATGGTATCGCGCGCATATAATAACAAAGTCAGCAGCGGCAAAACAGTCACAGAAGGATTAGTTTCGGTGCCACATTAATCAGAGCAGCATGTGTGGTGTTACTAGCGCCTGTGTTTGGTGGCAGCTATTGTAAAAGTAATACTTTAACCCCGACGTTTAGTCGCCTGACTCGAGCCTGCTACTCTCTAACAGTTGCATCAGTAGGAGTCATCCTAATAATACCAGTAATAGTAGAAGTACGATAGGCCGTTGCCTATTTCAAGCGCCAATCATCCTGCCCAGCACCATCTAACCATTGGTTTTTGCTGCCTAGTATGCCTCGCTACCTAGAGCTGTGCTTGTAACTGCGGCGGCTATGCCCCGTGTCGCTGCCCGCCCATTGTCTACGAACACGACAGCTAACGGCTGCCAGACCGGGCCATCGAGCTTTACTTCGGCTACCAGTATCTCAGCGTTCTAGCATCTAATCTCGACAGCAGGCCGTTACGGTTACTTGCTGCGAGTGTGCTTGACTATTTACTCCGGCCGACTGCAAGTACTCTCTCCCTCTGGTTGAGCCTTCTCAGACGCCGGAGCGGGCAACCCGTATTCGCATGCCTGAAACTGTGTCTATTGGACGTCTAACCATACCGTATAGCTCTGTCCGCGTCGTTACCATTGGAACGCTATCCTATGTAAGAAGAGAAACCGTCGGATACAGCAAACGACACCTCGTGGACTTGAACCGACGGAGCGCAGCAAGGATCCCCACTCAGATTACGTTTCGCATACTACGTATCGAAAACGTACAAGTCTAATTCACTTGTAATTACTGGGTTTGCGTGGGCCAGCCAAAGTTCAATTGACTATACTACAGTTCCTGTGTGTATATGGAGGAAGTGACTACAACGCTTGATTAGACCTATCATCTATCAGTCAGAAACCGAGAGTGCTACATCCTCAGAAGAAAAGACCTGGTCCAATCGAATTGGTGGTGATAATCAGCGAGTAGAACAAAAACGTCGAGCTAATCAAAGTGAACTCTGGTGTATTACTGTTCCTAGTGAATTGTTTCGTGCAGTAGGAAGACGTGCGAAGGACACGCGCAAGTATATTGGGTCGTAAACAGCAGCGAAGGTTCAGACTGGAATATTGCGTTACAGGATATGCAAACGAGAGCTAGCACGGTCGAAAGATCAGAAATAAATGGTAAACAGAAACGTATATCGTCAGTGAATTCTACGACGGCGACGGCGACGACGACGACGACGACGACGACGACAATAGCTTCTCGAAGCGAAGATGCCCAACTGCATTCATTGTTTAGCGACGGCAGCAGCAGCAGGAGCAGCAATAATACGAACAGTAAATCAACGTCACATACATCTAAAAGCGTCAGTGGCCAGCTTCAACATCTTGCGTTCGATAGCTGTCTTCGGCATAAATCGTCATCGATGTCCGAGACTATGTTTGAATCGTTTCGCCGCTCGATAGAGACCAGCGAAACGAACGACACACTCTATACGCACTACGGTGAAGGGTACAAGGATTTCCGTGAGCTAGTTGACGAACAGGATTTTCGTGAGTCAAGCGTTTCATCTGAAAGTAGCACTGTCAGTGATTCCCGCACCGTTCGAATAGTTCGCAATAAATCGGACGGTCCTCTGATTCGAACGAAGGTCGTGATCGGCGAAAGCGGAGAACAGATTGATGTGGCAGAACGGCCACGAATCCGTGTAGGATCGGCAGCTATACAAAAAGCCACCGAATCCTGCCCAAATTCGCCACTAAATCGCAAAATTAAGCAGAGCTATTTCAGTGAGTCGATCGCGGAATCCGGGGAGTCAGTGGTTGTCAGCTCGGCTCAGTCGTCACTGAACTCAACAATGGAGGAGCAGGAAAAACAGTTTTACTATGAATTATCCGATCGCGAATGCGAGGCAACAACAGTCAACGTTTCGATTGGTGAGCAAATCAACATCAAAGAGGTGGTACAACGCCGTCAGGAGACAGCTAAGGGTGGCCAAACAAGCACCACCACCACAACAGCTAGCGCTCAGAACGTTATGGCTGAACGTCGGCAACGCGTCACTTCGACGGAGAGCTTCGCGTCGAGCCGTGAAGGCACGCCGACGCGGGTGCCATTCGAGCGTTCCGTTAGTGCAGTGGCCACCGTCAAACGAACGGATTCGGGCCGCAGCAGCTCAGGGCTCAATATCAGCCAGAGGGATATACTCGTCAATCGTTCCAGATCATGGAACGCGATTGAGGCCAATCTATTCACCTCGTCGGTGAGTCACCTCAGCATTTAGGTCGACTTGAACAATAGAACGATCAATCGCAATAGAAACAAGAGGAAGATTAGCGTTATGGTTATTGTTCTTATTTACTCCTTTTGCAGTTTTCCTCCACCAGGTCACTTTTAAAAATATTACTGCCCTTTGCTTTTTGCCTGCCACTTGGTATACAGTCGCCTAAGTGCTGGTAGTAGGCTACAAACTCGACAGAACTGGAAAAACTTCCTGATAGGATTAACTGATAGGCAAAACTTCCTATTAGATTCCTGATAGGTTGATCCTTGTAAACCTGTAGCCAGGTGCGAGGAATGTAGTGTGCCTTAACGGCTGTCGAGCTTTGGGTCGTTGGTACATAAACCGGCTCTCGGTGCCTTCTCGCCATGTTGAATAATGCTGTTGCTGTGTTGGCCCGTTATCTTCATAATGCTATAAACGTTGAAGTGCTATCCTACGAATTGATAAAAGAAGCGGGTACAGACGATACTCGAGCTGTATGCTTCTGGGCAAAGCGAAACGCCGTCTGGGTCTCCGTCGTCAATCGATCGATGGATCGTCCGATCGGCGAATTCTTTCCGTTAAATAATCTCGTTCACTCGCTGGCATTGATAGGGTTTTGATAAATGCTGTTGAATCTTCGTGGACGCTAAACTAGGCAGAGCGCAAGGATAGATCGCTGCCACGTCATAATGAATTTTCTTACTCTGAGAGACGAGATTAGCACATGATAGTCATGCACAAAAAAGGAGGTGAGATCGATCAATGCGGCCAATTTTTTTGGTAAGGATTAGTGTAAAGAAATCAGTGACAAAAAAAAAGTGATGCATTAGAACCCTACCTTCTATGAACGGCTACTTCATATGTAAACGTGTCCCACACTCGTCATCGCTATAGTGACTTTTCATGTGGGTGACACGAAAATTATCCCAGTAGCATCAAGTCATGTTAGCAAAATCTACCTATACTTCTACTCTTCCTCCAGTACTATCTCGTGCCTTTAAGAAAAAGCACCGTTTCATAAAGATACCTTTTCACCTCATAAACAATAATTTGAGTAAAGTTGTTATTAATGTTTTGTAGTTCTCCTATTATCAATAGTAACAACGCGTGTTCGTGTTCCTGCATAACTGATCATAGATTAACACCGGTGCGCCCGGAGATACGAAACACGTTAAGAAATGATAAAAGGAGCGTGCTACGGGACATGCAATTCCGTGCTAGTTAGAGTTCGCTCTTTGAATCTGTTCGGGTCATTTTAATATCAGGATCACGTTATCGTTTTAAACAGCCGATAAGAGACACTCTCTAAGATTATTACCTCGAGTAAAACTAATATTCATAAAAATCATAACTTAAAAACCCCACGCACTCAATCTAATCAGCGTGTGTAGCGACTGTGAATAATGAAAAAAAGTTATGATGAACTTGCGCTCGGAATGGCAATCAAGGATCAAGCGATTCTCCCACAGAATATCACTGATGTAGGGAAAAAATATACAGAACCCTCGATTGAACTGCAATTTTAATCAAATTTACCTTGAACCGATGGCTACGCCTACTCAGTTTCGAACACAGAGCAGCAGGAACGAAAGAACAAATATATTATATCTGATGCATGCACAGACAGTACCAAGTATTCCAGATAGTTGGGTTTATGTAAAATGAAATGTCCTGTTTCTTTCGGCCTAGCTATACGTAGCTAGGACCCTGCGTTATTTGCACAGTGTGCATCTATGACGCACACTCATGTGCCACTTCGACGAACGTTGATTTCTTCATTTCATTCGCTATGTCACTAACCGACAACGTCATCTCACTGCATTTCGTTGAAAGCAGGATACCGGGGAAATAATCGTCATTGCATATCTAGGCAGGATACCGGGGAAATAATCGTCATTGCATATCTAGGCAGGATACCGGGGAAATAATCGTCATTGCATATCTAGGCAGGATACCGGGGAAATAATCGTCATTGCATATCTAGGCAGGATACCTGGGAAATAGTCGTCATTGCATATCTAGGCAGGATACCGGGGAAATAATCGTCATTGCATATCTAGGCTCTATCACACTGTGTCAAAAATTATTTAAACGTCGCTTCAAAATCTAGCGAAGTTTTTTCAGTATGGTATATCGGTATCGAGAAGCAACTCGAGTTTGCAGATTTTCCATCGTACATTCACTACTGTGGCCTAACTTTATTATTGCCCCTTTTCAAGAAGCGGGAGACGGGCAACTCGTTACATCCCCCAGTGTACAGCGGCGAAGGTCACTTACTATATTGTAACACAACATAAGCCGTTATCAATTACATATTCACGCGGCTGAGGTAAAAGTTTTATTCGATCATGTCTTTCTCCTTTTTTTCTTGTTCTGGACGAAAAAAATGCTAACTATGCTCTATCGCTTCTGAATGAAGGACTACATTCAGCCCGGAACACTGCGGGACTTCGTAGTGGAAACATTGTCTCGCCGTTCACACCAATCCTAAAACCTCGCTTGTATAAGCTTCGTTCTTCGGCAGTTCTGATTTTCTGTAATAGGACCAGAAATATCCGATTACGCCTATGCATGCCGAAGTGGATTACAGCCCGTCTGAGCATTTTTTGACTTTGCACTACATAAATGAATGCATCTCCGAGTCGATGTCCGACGGTTAGATGAGAACTTTTGTAAGCGCCTAAAAGAGGCTGGCGGGGGTGATAGGCCGTGCTTTGTTAAGTGTTCCAATCGCTAAACAATGAAAACATGCAGCGAATACACATGGCTGGAAGAACTTTGCCCATAGACCTACTTGTTGTCGGGACTTTAGAGAAAACAGGGATTTCGTTAGCCGATTATTATTCGACTATGATAAAATTTTTGCGATACTGCGAATGTTGTTTATATCTAGCTCCGTTGGAGATAATGAGACGCGCCGCAACAGAGGCTGGGCTTAAGGCCGTTCAACTAAAAACTGACACATGCAGAGTACCGTTCTGCATTGCTACTATCACTGCTCTCATGCCATATCGCTAACCGAACGTACATTGTCACGGATCGCAGACTCTGCCACTACAAACGCCGACCGTTGCGGCTGCTTCTACTGCAGCGGTAGCAGTAGCCGCTGTGGCTCCTAATCCCACCGTCCATAGCTGAAAATTGCAATCAATGCACCCTTTGAAGCCCTTTCGAACGTCAAAACTGCAAACAAAACAATATGTCTATATAATAGAATTGAATAAATCCACACTAACAGATCTCTATCTCTACCGCACTAAGAATTTGAGCATATACATTCAATTGTCTTTTGAAAGCGATACCCAATGATTTTTTACAAGATATACGTATAACTGTATAGTGAAGACATGATTTATAGAAGAAGATGTAAGTAATGAGATCGACAGTCGCACTATCTATATATATATATATATATATATATGGAGCTGCTTTTTGTATGTATATGCGACCGGTAGACTATATTCGCAATGACGATCCGTCAAGCAGAGCGTTCAGCGCAAGCTGATATTATTATCGCTTCTACAAATATATACGACGCAGTTCAACGATAGGTCGCTTGAGGTGTGCTAAGGTAGCGATAGGATCGAAGTCAAAAAAATAAAAACTAATTATTGCGCTAGGGTTGATTACTTCGTGTGACTGTAATGATGCACAGCTTGGCGCTGCGAAGGTATAGACGGCCATTTTGGCCAGACGATTATAAACACACTGTTTTTTCCTCGCTACAGGAAGTCTATTTTAGACATCGGCGCAGTAATTATTTTATATTCAATTCCAATAATGTTTGATTAACAAAATGCGAATATCGTACGAATCTCTGTGGAAAGCGTAAGAAAAAGGGAAACAAAATTAAGAGCCTTGTATCTATGTATTTGTAAAAGTCATAACGTAACTGTAAAATGAGATGCTTACGTAAACATTTAATTCACATCTATTTACGCGCAAAATCTGGAGAGGGGGGTGCAGACGATTTATCTTCGTTTGTGTACTTTCGAGCCTTTACGAAATACGCGTTGTAACAAATCCTCTCTTCTGTTTCTATATACATTATTACGTCCATCGACGCTACGATAGAACTGCAATCAGATAGAAGAAGTCTGAAGTTCGCACTCTGGGACGATCCTGAGATCTTTACTAAGCAAAACTTTGTTTAGTTGCATTGTTTTCGTTGATTGAAGCTTAGCCTTAATAGTATTTCAGTGTGGTTTTGCAGCTGTCGATGATTCCGCCACGGTAACTGTAGGTGGGGGTCTAGCTTGCTCGAAAGAAGAACAAAGTGGAAGAGCTTATTGCCATTTGTTAAAGCATACGAACGAGCAAGAAGTTATGAATATTGGAACTTTTAAAGAAAGTCAACTGAATGCAAAAGGTCTTGGAGCTAGAATGAATCACGCATTATCGTTAACGCATATTAACACTATGGTCGATATAATCACTAGGGTCTATTCTTATCAAGTAACTGTGACGGTATTTAACAACCGTTAGCACAGCAACCTGTGATTTGAAAGCGTAAGCATAACACATGCTATATAATTGAGACGTTTCAAAAGTGTTAAAACCTTCATTTGTTTTTGGCTGGCATTTAGGGTCAACGTTGCCTACACCTACGTACGTTTCTTATGCCAACAGGATACAAAGTAGCCTAAAATTACTAGCGAAAAGCTGTCGTGACGCTCACTTATCGATAGTCTTTGAAATAAAGACAACAAGCCCTGTTTAGCAGCATAAATATCAAGTGACGACAGAAGAGTGGTCCCTTCGTCGATTCTAAGGTCAGTCCGCTATAGCTGAAACAATATAGTTTATTATGGACGCCATCTTTGATGTGCGCTCAAGGTGGGGCATACCTGGGAAACGAAAATTGTCGGACGATGTCATAGGCAAAGTGTCCGTAACAAGCCATTCAGTTCTACTTTCACATACGGCTGCCGTATGGCAGCACTGAAGGTTGCTTCCGCTGGTAGATACCAACGAGTATCTCCCGCGTTCGAGTTAACGGACCCGATTAACCGATTCATCTTTGCAGTAATAGACGTTAGCCTCAATAGCTAAAAGGTGCTTGCCAGTATTGAGGAATAATGCATCTGACATTTAGTTTACCCCGCAGAGTCAGGCCGCGCTGTGCATAATGCTTCACCAGTATCCGCTGTTGGAGTTGGCGCCCCAGCAGTCGCGCCCACTAATGTATTACTATAGTAGGTAACGGTAGGCATAGTTCTTGAGCGGAGACCTGACAAGTGGGCACTGAGCCTTGAGCAACATCGACAGACTTCCGTCGGCCGCGCGGCAAGAAGTGCCGTGGAAGAATTCATGGCGGCAAAAGGAGACAGAAGCAGGCCACTGCTGCCGCCGCCGCCACCGCCACTGCCTCTGTTGCCTATGCTTGGCCGCTCGGTCCTTTGGGTCTACCGCAAAACCGCCCCTATCATACTGCTTCCATGCTATGACGTAACCCGCCTGCTGCCTTTCGCCCACGACAGCGTCAGCGGTGGCATCGAGGACGGTGATGTCAGGAACAAATCAAAGATCTTGGACGCGAGCCAGAACATGGACGAAATGGCGATGAAAGTCGGTCTGCACGGGGCTTCTCCATCAGTGCAATGATCTGCAGCGGATTAGGCCATGCCTTAGACCAGCGCTTGGTAAGTCTGCTTGTGCAGACGCTTTATTCAATAAAGCGTAAGCTTGGTCGATAATTTCGACTTCGGCTTGGCACTACCATTAATCGTAGTCGTAGTGATCTATATACACTTAGTACAGTGATTTAGCTACCAGTCTAGCGTCTTTGTGTCCATCGTACTTTCGAAAAGTAGCCTAGCGTTGGTCATGGTACTGAGCAGTCGATCACATAACGTTCGTGATCGCGCAAGCGATGCAAGTTGTACGATTAAATCCTTTCCATTGCAAGGCCAATATCTTTGAGCGTATATTGCGCTGATTAGGCACTGATGATGGCTAAGACAATATTGCCTCAACGGCGGCTGGTCCTTACGGCATACCCTACGCCCACTCCTTAGGACCACTAGCACGTCGACCCTGCGAGCAACGTACATACAAGCACATTGTACCTTACTGTTGTAGCATTAAACGGGCGATTCATTGCGTGACTCTTCGTTGCACTGGCCTAACACTGCCGCACTGCGGTACACACATTCTGGCATTAGCAATGGTAATAATGGTTAGTGTAGTGGAGATGCAAGTCGATTGGTTGGTCGCGGACTTGGCTTATCATGTGTGACTTGAGTCAGAGCGCCTTCGCCATTTAGGACAACTGTCGGAGGTCAGGATAGAGTATACCGACGTGCTTATTCGTTCCCCCATCCGTCCGTTGGACATCACTCGCAGCTCACTCCTATTGTACCTCTTAGGAAATGTAGGCTGGACGCAGCGGCCTAGATTAAAATATTTGGTTAGTAGGCAAAGTCGTCGCCAGGTGCGGCGGCAGCGCCTCCGCGGTGTAAGCAAGATATACAACCAACGGCAACACTATGCTACTGGCCTGTAAATATTGTCTGCCTCAGCTACTACAGCAGCGGCGGCCGCATCAAGGGCCTTCTTATCAACTAGATCATCTTTACGAAACAAATCGCTGTGAATAACGCTGACAGCAAGAGCAGCAATGTCAGAAACGAATAGTGCTAATAGAACAGTTCTCGCACCTATTGTCCTCTACGTACGTAGATGAGTAGGTGACTAGTTGCCTGTACAGGTTCGCCCCTACCTACCTACCTACCTACCTGGCTGGCTATCTGCTTGCTAGCGAGCTCAACAAAGCTTACGGGGCCGTTGTTGCTACTACTGCCGCCGCTGCTGTTAGAAAATGTCACTGCATTACTGATAGAAAGAGCAGCGAAACAAAGCGCTTCCTTTTACCTAGCGTGCGAGAATACGACCGAGACAGTCATCATTGGTATTGTCTGTCTCTGCCATACGATTACAATGAAAGCAGCGACGACACAAGGAGCTTACTTAGATCGATCCATACTGGCAACGGTTCCATTATGTGATTGCTTATTTATGGTTGTTATCGAGCAGAATAATGTACGACGAACTCACAAAGAAGCGCGATTGGTGCGCTTTTGTTTCTTTTTTTTGTGATGTACGACACAGTTTTCCGACGACATTAGCTCTTAGAGATCATCAACCGTTTATTTAACTTCACTTAAAAAATCTCCTTATATATAATAACTGTGGCCATGTATTTCACAAATCCACCAATAATAACAGTCAAAATGGTACCGTACACCGGTCCAAACGGTCAAGGCTTTTAATGAACGCCTTAAATGCCAGCCTTATAACAAATGGGACCATCGTGCTATACAATTTTCGCTCACATTTTTATACGAAATCACCTTAAGCGAGATTATAGAGAGTAGTTTATAGTCACTCCACAAGTTTAGTTCCGATAACTTGATTTGAAGTTGATTATATTGACTAGGGGATTGCAGAATGCTTGAAAGGAAGCAACTGCAAGCCCATAAATATTCTAAGTATACTTCGCATATTATATTTCATATATTTTACATGCCTATATGAGAACTTAATTGGATTTATAATATCCACAACCTAATCAAGTCTTCTTCTTACGCTCTGTCCTTAATACTGCATCTAAACATTTCAGTGAATGTTTCTTATATGTACTTTCAGTTCCATTTCAATAAATCATGATCCGCCACCATTACAGCTCCAATTCAAGACCTAAACCATCCTTTAGTCGTTGGCAAAGTATTTGCTATTAACCTACATGTAACCTTTCAATCGTGATTTGCATCAAGTTATATTGGTAGATCTAAACTTAGTGTCGTTAAAATGTCGCTCAAATACTCTACATACAAAACGAATCGACGGAATCATACACTATACTGGCTGGCGACAGGCAAAAGTCCCAAAAATACTAGAACTCAAAATCACCAAAAAGTGCCGAAAGTCCTAGAAATACTAACTACTGAAGCTGATCTGGACGACCCAATCGATATTGGTTATTATCCTTCTTCAAAACGGCTGTTATTTAAATTATCAAACATTTAGGCATATTAAAGATGACTTTTACAGGTTAGTTCGATCATTTTGAGACCCTCAAATTTGAAACATATTAGGACCTTCCAATGTACCTTACGCCTGTTTCAGTTCTTTCAAAAGCCGCATAAACACTGACATTAATGTAGACTGTCAGTGCCACTCTAAGAAAGAACTTTACAACCTTTCTCGAATTTAGCGTGAAGAAACTGGATAACGGCTCATTTTCATTTGGTTCGTAAAAACGATCCATTGTTTTCTACCATGATGAGTTTGTTGTTTACAGAGAACAGGTCTTCTTCTTCTTCTTCTTAAAGTACTAGACTTAACGGATGAACGCATGCGCATTACGACATTTAGCCCGCCAATATTCGTTCTAATTTAAATCCATTTGGCTTCTTGAGGATACAATTTTAAGACTAAAATTATTTCTATTGAATGGACCACTTTTCTGCCGACTCGTTCAGTGTCCTACTGCCTTTAGTTGCTAGCTTTCATTATGTTACATATTAAAAGCAGCTTTTAGCGAAAATAGATATTTCACTTGTCTTTAACATTGCCACCTATCTGCGCGCCATTATGTCACTACGCTGCTTCCGTTTCGGAGCGCCACCGGACGTGATAGTTGAGCAAGTCAATCGAAGTGAATGTCTATTGGATATAACTTATCGGGCCCCTTTAACCTCCGGTGGCTCCAGCATAACTGGGGTGACTAAACGTTTTTTTCAGACAGATTCGTGACCCGTTATTTTCTCCGTAACACTGTAGCATAGTAGTTGGTAGTGCTTTGCCAAAATACCAGTACTGATTTTACATCGAGAAGCGATTTCTCTCTGTGCTGCTAGATTGTTATCACGGAAACGAGTGATGGGCCCCTTATCGTTTAAACGTGCTTATTGAAGTTGTGTCTACCTCACGCACGTGGATCCCTACCCGCTGACGTAGAGCTTAAACAGCACTGGAAGGCTAGTAAAAACGGCCTTAAAAAAATATACTTGCTACTATAGTACAGAATAGCTCTTTCGTACAGTGACCAATTCGGTCGACAATTTCCACCCTATTTTTTCTACCGAGAATCTGCAGGAGGAAAACTAGAAATAGACGGCGGTTCCTGCTAGTAAAGCCTAACTTATTATTTTTAGATGTTCTAAAAGCGTGCGGTATTTATTGCGGTGGCAGTAGTTCAGCGAGCCTGTTGCTTGATGGACCTACATGGTCGACTGAGAACTATTACTGAACCACGAGTGAATTCTTAATACGGACTAATTTTTAGCATTATTGTGTAATTTAAGCATGTCCAAGGTGCTGGTTCTAAGCTTTGGGTATTTTGTGAAGACTGTCTTTTTCTTACAGCTCCTTTTTGCCCTGTTACAAAAGCTGCAGATTTTGAATTTGCTAAAACCTAATTGCGAAGTTACGTAGCTAGCTATTAGATCTACTGAAAACCCAACAACGAAATACGCATACCACATACTGTGAATTAGAAGCAATTGTATTGTATAGTTGGCTTCCGTCATTGCATTGCATCCTATCGACGCTCACGTCGAACATAACAGTTTCAGGACACTAATCGTGTCCTAAAGATATATTAGGACAATAGGCGTCACAGGGAGAAAGAAAACAGTACACATGCCTTTCCTCATAAAAAGTCGCGATTGCAAGTGCAGGTTAGCATTACAAGAATCGCTCTGATCCTTAGTGATGAATGCCTTTCTAGATACAACGCAGTACTACGCTAGAAATATCCTTGCAATGTACAGAATGATTAGAAATTAAATGATGGTAAAAATTGTTTCACTGTTTTTTTTACGAGCGTACACAGAAGAAGTTCACCTTCGGAGTGATCATTCAAAGGACGCTTTGCAACCGTATTATACGATACATGTTCAAGGAGCATAGAAGCATGACTTTGTCACAACTACAGAAAGTTCGATGATTGCAGGACATGACTGAATGGGTGTTAAAGTAGCGATGTAAAATGTTAGTTAAATTACTGAGGAGTGTGGTTGGATTTGTCAGCGCCATGTCGGTAATATATGTGTTGACCGCACATTTTTGTCCAGGAGGCTCTGGAGAAGGTTACAGGAGCACACAGAAGAACATTGCGCACTTTTTATTTATTGATCCATCTTCTTCCAATTTCTGAAGCTGTCGGCAAGAACATTCTATGTGTGCCAACTTTTCTTTTTCTTATTAGGACGGTTAGCCAACGCGCTTTCTCAGAAGCTTCTTAACAATCCGTAATCTCCGCTGAGCGATCTATGTTTGTGAAGTGATTGTATTGCACGCACTCCGATCCAGCTGCTTTATTTTTTTAAGAAAGACTCTCCATCCTTTAAAAGAATTGTTTTAATTTAAGTTGTGAATTTAATTTAACTGTGACTAAAAATTTTTCCAAATTGTAAAACCTCTCATTCTTCTCAGGAACTCCGTTTCCACGACAATAATCGGACTTTTTTTTTGCCACGCAACCTAAATGAATATGCAATTACTACATTCGTATATTGCAGCTAAGCATCTGGCAAGCTATGTTACCAGAGCGAATTTACATCCTAGGTGTTGCTACGTCATGAAGGATGCTACCTACCTATAAATTAGCTTCAGCGACCATCTTCGGATTTTCCCATAGAAGTCACCTCAGCTAGGCAAACCTCTTTTAAAATAGCAGTTAGAAATCTGGATAACAACACGATGACACTTGACATCACTAAATTGAATAGGCACGACCTCGTCGTTCTCTGGCATTACCAAGTTATCAGCGGCGCCAGATATGCCAGATAGAAAACCTTGAAATATTTATTAGACTGAATCAGTATTTGCGACACCGTGGTTATTGAGCACTTAACATAAAAAAAAAACGGCAAGAACTAACTCACCGTAACAATGTTATATGCAATGAAGACGATCTATTGGAAGAGACGCAAAATGCACCTTAAATTAAAAATGGCGTACGCGGCAGAAAATTTTAGCGTGTTTAGTAGCTGATTTTCAAAAAAAAACACCAAGGAATGATAGGAAAAGATTCTCGATGTATGTCCAAGAAAACAGCCATTGAAAAGAAAAACAAATACGAAACTAAAGGCCATTCATTCAGGCATGTTTCTTTCTGCGGCGTTACTGCGGTGTTGTCCATGAAAAAAAAGGCCGCTTGCCAACCGACACGTTGGCATTGTCAACTCTGATCAGCGAGCCCTGGCAGGTTTTTTGGCCAAAAGAACATATTTGGGTAGCACAAGCAAGGGGAGAACAACGGGGGCTTAAGAAATCAAGAAGAGTTTTTTTGGGAACATCTGTTGTACCGTCGATGAAACGGCAGTTGTACCGCTTCCAAAATAAACAGATAAATGCTCAGAGAGTCTTTCTTGAAGGCGTTCTTGAAAGTTGTCACACAGTACGGCAATAAGCAATAACATCGTTTTTTTCCAGTCCTGTGCTCAAATTCAACGGGAGCAGCAGCGCCAACAACAATATAGACAAACAAATACAGCAAACATATTGTGAGAAGCGATCAGCTGGAGCGGTTCTGCGGCATAAGGCACGTCTATTGACTACGACAAGACCTGGGGATGCTCGAGCAGACTAAGGTTTAGCCTTGCATGAAGGCGGGACGTATGCGAGCGCGATCTCGGTTTTATTCTCGTTTCTGCTATCAGAAGTTTGTGTAGAAAAATGGCATGACCAGTTCAACGTGCATTTGAACGAGGTAATATACGGTTTGTATACAGCTGATGCTAGCTGGGGTCCGCCCTCTTCCCTACTGAACGGCAGTAATGATATTTAGGGCGTATAATTTTTGGACGGAACTCTCCGACAATTTTTATAGTAACATATTAGCTTTACCTAACTAGTCTTGCGGGCTAGTGGATATTTGCCTTCCTTTTGCCGGTATACCCAGGATGCAGAAGAGCTCGGGGACGAGCGCAGGCCGTAGATTTGGGGTAGCCTAGCTTGTAGTAAAGGGGTTGTGTAGAAGCGTCATAATTCAAAAAGGAAGTACTATTGCCTGATACGGATTGAACCGACGTAGTTCATGTGGCAAGAATTGTTAGGAAAAGCAGACTTGCACGTTTTTTGGAAGTTGAAATAACTATGTATACCCAAAGACACAGTGACATGTATACAGATCGAACAGCGTGGCGTCTGAGCCAACCCGCAACGTGAGCCATTTGACATGTTAGAAGGTAGATCGTTGCTATTTAGTATGTACCTTTTACTGATGTACAAATTAGCTAGAGAAAAAAAACACGTGCATTTATATTAGTTAACATATGCCCATGGAGTGTTTCTAAAGCAGTATATCTGTGAGTAGGGCAATATATAATCGCTATAACGTTAGCAGGTGGGGACGAAAGGTCATTTATCGATCACTACTATTCATTAGCATTGATTTGCCTCTGGTAACTGTGCACCTATTGTTCTGGGTGGAACACTTGAGTTTCCATCGAAAACTTTAAATGTATTGGTATAAATACGCGCTTGAAAGCTTCATTTAGCGCTCGCATTAACTGTATCGAAGTACACGCAGTAGAGCTATTGTATAATATCTTCTGAGAAGCTTCCTTTCGATTACGACGACCACGCCCTACTAGTATAGGAAATGTATACGCCGTATCAATTTTTAAGCCGTCTGTGGTTCCATAGCGTAGCAGGTTCCTTGGAAACTATGGAGACTATCTTAACAACGGTTAGTCTCCGCAGTCAGGATCAACAGTATTGCTTTTCCATACCCTCAATACACTTAGGCGATGTTTCACGCCCATTAGCAAATATCCGCCATTTCTTACAAGTAATATTGTCTCAGCCTTCATAAAGGTCGTTTGCGGATTCATATGGATATTGAAGCCGATAATCATGCTTTCGTGATAGAAGTCACGCCCCGCTATAAATTGTAAGTGTAAAGGGTCGAGTGCGCTTGCATTGAATCAAGCTCGTGTACGAAAGATAGACTTATCGTGCATACAAGTGAAGTTCGTACAAATTTAATTCATTTGGGTGGCTGACGTTGGGAATGCTTTCGTTGGTTATAGAAAGCTACGTTATATGATTGAACTTTTTTTTATCTCCCATATTTATACAAAAACAGCAAACGCAGTCTGACCGTTGTCGTCATTAATTAGGGACTACGAGGCTGAAATTAAATACGACCACCTGCGAAAACCAGAATCACTCGAACCATCATAAGTTTGTATGGCTATATATTATGTATATAAAAACTGTAAGATTTATAAGATTATTATGTTCTTTGGTGTAAAGTTGCATAGATGCGAAGGTAGCCCTGCAATTATTAACTTCAATGGGTTGATAATTAATAAGTTGGCCTCAAAAAGATTCGAGCGTTTCAAACGAAAAAAGAACAGTATATTTTTCTTGGCAAGACATGCAGAGCATGTCACAGTAAATTTGTGTAGTAAAACTGTATATGAGCAATAATTGCTCGGCTATGTTTGTGTGCAGCAGCGTTCCGCAGCCTGTGAAATAAGCAAAAAATCCATGATGAAAATTCGAGCTCGTGTACACCCCTTACATATGCTCCTACGGTACGTTCGCGTCATTTATGTAATGGGAATCCTACACGGACGGGCTTCCCGTTGCTTTTTATGGATCACTTAAGACGTCACTGCCATATTTATAAAGGCTATCTACTGATAGTAATTGGATTGCGTCATCCCTATTAGTAATATACGAGAAGGTAGACAAAATACATTTGCTAGAGTAGAGACGAAACAGTGTGAAAAAACGACTTCATGATCCTCGATGGCTTGAGAAACGGAGGTTGACTTAAGGCTTTAGCCAAATCATGAGTCAACGCCAGACATCCTAATAGTAATTCAGTGAATATGGCCGATCATTAAGGAACTCCTGTAGCCAAAATGTCAGCATGATGCTGGGCCGCTCCAGACTAAACCCAAGTCTTCAGAACGGAAACTACTGTCAGGCCATGTTTGTTGCACATGCGGTCGAAGCTCTTGTTCTGCTACGGGATTGAATCAATAAGGATGGCATAAGCCCAGAACTCTGGTAGGATTTACCAAGCGATCACATTCACAGTCATGAGACAGACATAATAGAAAAGCTAAACGCTGGATTGCCATTATGGATGGATACGTAGCGCGCCGACCAGCTGCTTGTGATTCAGCAAACATCGACCATAGTGTAATACGTGATACCTTGGAATATACACGGTAGCTCATGATTGGACATTGGAGGAAGTGATGCACGTTTCAGCATTGTCTGTCTTGGTGGCTTTGTGCAGGACGTCTCAAAGTTCGAAGCCAGTCCTTCTGATGGAGTAATAGAGCTGACAGTATGATGAAGTACTTCTGCCAAGCGACCGTAGAATGTTGATACCTATTTCATTATGAAATGTTGAAATGCATGGCATCAAATTTTGGCAAATGTCAACTCAGGAAATCTCGTAACTATGGCACGTGCGTATACAGAAAGGTCTTCTTTTTTTCCATACCCATTTGCAAGTAGTGGATTAATTATACGTGCTAGCAATAAGCGAATTAACGAAAAATTATCCACGCCCAAATGTTCAGCCTTCAGACTTTATAAACATTATAGACAGAGGTCCAGGAATATTTGGCGTAAGCTAAGACTTTGATTTACCTCTAAACGTTTACGAAGCTATCGTCAAAGCCTCAATCGTAAATGTTGATAATAGCAGAAGTTTTCGACAAAAAAAAAACAATATTATGCCAGAATTCGAGGACCCGTCTGTTTTCAAGCTAAAATGTTTACTGACATCAAAACAACTGAGCGAAATAGCAACCGTTGACCGCAATGCACCCTCTATATCGACGCGAAAAAATTGCTACACGTTTTCTAGCATCTTGAACAGCTCAGATACACGCAGTATGAAACTCTACTACGGAAATAGCCGAAAAGGGTCAAAGCGATCGTAGACTGATTTAAGATTTCGAACGAAAACGACAAAAAACACATCCGCATTTATACGCGTACGAACAACAAAGTTCAAACTTTAACATTGAGTAGAAAACCATTTGTGTCGAGTGTGCCCCTCCTATGAAAACAGTATGAAAGTCAAACTTCCACATAGTAAGTAGGGGCACACATATAATGATAACAGTCCAGCTATTTGAGACTTTAATTTTTATCAGTCGGTATCTGTGCGTTGTGTGTGTCCGGATCGCTGTCACTAAACGTTAGCTTTATTCTCGATGTGCTATTTACATTAAATAGACTACTTTGAATCGAGTTGTTCAGGGAACAAGCAATTTCTTCCAGTCGCAACGCTTGAGACGCGGTTGAAATGCGTTGGCAGCTGGAACGGTTGTCAACGGTGTGAGTGGGAAGACAGAAGAGCGTTATCCAGATAGCGTTCGTGGCTGACGTAAGTCTTTCTTGTGGCCACTCTGGACGCCAGCATAACAGAAGCAAGCAGACGGCTAGGCCAGTCTTGAAGTTCGAACTTTATTTCATAAGCTGTATATAACGTAAATTGTCGAATAGTAAAAGGACAACTATACAGCTTAGGCCACCTAAATTGAGCGAATGTTCACAATTGAGTTACCGCCACAAAATGAAGCACCTAAAGCATTAGGTTTTTTCTAGCTCTGTCAAAAAAAGCAACTTCTCAAGGCCAAGTCGGGCGAAACGTGTCCATCATAATGCCCTCCACATTATGGCTATATTAAGTCGACAGCACTGTACTGAAGACAGTAAAAAATTTAAAATTGCCGATATACGATATAGTCCTACAGTGCATATTATCTAAATGTTCAATAACTAATTCCGATGAACAAGGCAAAATATCTCTAAACGTTATTAAAGCGATTTATATGATTATACATACAGAGTTGTCTAAAGCTCTCAATTATGCTTCAACGACCTGTCTCATATTGAATTTTACTTTGTTTGGCGCCTCTGGACAAACTGCGCCACCTTGCGGCCGTTATTAGAGGGTGTCCACATTTTAAATAGGCCATTGTCTCTTTTAAACAAATATTGGTAATGTGCTTTAAACATTAGAACCTTTTATCTAGAGCTAGCTTAACTACAAATCACTCCGCTCACATTAGCAACAATAAACTAGAACTATTGTAACAATACAATAGCGTATAATTGAGGGTATTTACGCATGTGCTGTTTAGGTGTACGTTGTGTGCGCCTTTACACGTACGTAGAGCACGAATCATTACGGCATTAATGAAGTGCGCTATCTTCCTCGTTTAGCGGAAATACTACGCTGATCATCATGCCAGATGAGATGATACGTCTTGTTAATTATTCGGTAAATGGCCATTCCATTAGCGAAATAGCCTATGACAGTAATGCATAATGGAAACGAATTCAGTGCTGACGTCCATTTTAACGGGCCGGAGGTTTCCCATCCTGG